ACACTGACACAGCCCAGTCACAGGCTCTAGACTCTTCTAGGCGTATACAGTAAATATGTCTGTTTGTTCTTATGTTTACAGACCCCCCGTCTGTCACCCTGTCTGTACAGCCGCAGACGGTCATGGAGGGATCAAAAGTCCTTTTCCTCTGTTCTGCTTCTGCCAATCCAGAAATCACGGGATACAGGTCTGTACATCTCCTCCACGATACCAGTACACCCAATACCCCCCTCCCCAAGCCCATACTGTACAATAACTGCATCCGGGTCCCTGTCTCCCTCTCTCCTGGAATGCACCAGTTAGGAGAGTTTCAGATCTCTATAATATGTATAGAAAAAATCTTAAAAGCATGTGGAAATAACTCTTTAACCAAGAGTGCAGTGATGAAGACAGGGGTGCAGTGATGAAGAGCTGTAGTGATGAAGACAGGGGTGCAGTGATGAAGAGCTGTAGTGATGAAGACAGGGGTGCAGTGATGAAGAGCTGTAGTGATGAAGACAGGGGTACAGTGATGAAGACAGGGGTGCAGTGATGAAGACAGGGGTGCAGTGCTGGCAGGGGTGACGCCTGGGGTGAGAGTGAGGTGTCATGTCTTCCCCTGGGCAGTGCCCTGTTGCCCATCGCTCGCTGATCGTGTCCGGCTCTCTCCCAGGTGGGCGAAAGGCGGGGTCCCGATTTCAGAGGCCAATGGGGACAGCCTGGAGGTGACTGTGGACCACACCTACTTCACCGACCCTGTGTCCTGCGAGGTGTCCAACTCTGTGGGCAGCACCAATGTCAGCACGCTAGTGGACGTGCAGTGTAAGTTCCTGGCCGACCCCGAAGGCCCCGTATCAATGATTTCGATCAAGTTCACATAAGCACCCCCAAACCCTGCTGTGATCACTCACAGTCTCTGTGGGAGGTCAAGGGTTAAATGTGTGCTGGTCACCAGCATGGCCATCATCACACTGGCTTGGGTGGTGACTCTGAGTGGGCATTATGCCAGAGTTCAATTGCGTTATTGATTACATATTGTCTGTTTTTAGCCCACGCATACGTCTCGCCAGTAGACTGTATTGATCAGGTGTAGGCTGTGCAGATCACGCCGTGTTGATCCCGTGTCCGTGTCTGCAGTTGGCCCCAGGCTGCTGTCCGAGCCCAGACCGCTGGTGGTGGACATCGGGATGGACGCGGCCTTCACCTGCTCCTGGACGGGAAACCCGCCCCTCACCCTGGCCTGGACCAAAGTGGGCTCCAGCGTGGTGAGTCAGGGCAGCGAGGTCAGCTCTGCGTCTGGCCTGCTTGACAGGGGTGTTGTAGCGGAGAATCCCTCACTGTCGGGGGTTCGGGTTTGGATTTAGGGGTGAGATAAGGGTTAGAGGTTAGGGTCAAGGGTCAACAGTTAGAGAATAGGGGATAGGGTTCAGGTGTAAGATTAAAGTTTAGAGGTGTGGGGTTAGGTTACAGGTTAAAGGGTTAGGATGAGGGATAGAGTTCAGGGTTTGGTTTAGGGTTAATGGGTTGGAATAGGGGATAGGGGTCAGAGGTTATGGTCAGGGTTATCGTAAATTCACCATGTGCTATCGACCCCCTGCTGTCCCCCAGGTCCTCAGCAATGGCAACACTCTGCAGCTGAAGGCCGTCACCCAGGAGGACGCTGGCACCTACTCCTGCAAGGCCATCGTGCCACGCATCGGCGTCGCCGAGAAGGAGGTCACGCTCACCGTCAACGGTCAGAGCCCCCTGCGTCCGTCCTCCCTTCCCTTCGGCCCCTCTTTGGCTCTTGTTTGTCTGGGATTTGCTTCTTTTTCACAAGACGCTAACGGGAAGAGGCCCGTCAAGCTAGTTTCATACCCAGTAGCTAACTGATCCATGGATCTCTTACAGTTATTAATTGAAAGAAGGGTATCAGTTTCAACAACATGGACAGCTTGTTCCACACTCCCACCACCCTTTGTGTACAGAAGCACCTCTTGTTCTCAGATTTAAATGTGCTTCCCCATAGTTTCCATTTTTATCCTCTGGTTTGTGTTTTGAGTGTCCATGTTGACAAAGCACACTGGGATGTATAGACGATTGACTTTGAGGATTTTGAACACTTGTATCATGTCCCCTCGTAGTTTTCTCTGTTCAAGACTGAAAAGGTTCAGTTCCTTCAGCCTGTCAGTGGAGGAGCATTGGAATAATATCGGTAAAGTCGTTATCTTCATCATTATTTCTGCCTGCCTGACAATGTGCCTCCCCCCTCTGTCACCCCAGGCCCGCCCATCATCACCGCCGACGCCACGCAGCACGCAGCCAAGAACACCAAGGGCAAGCTGGAGTGCCTGGTGGGCAGCAGCCCTCCCCCTGACAAGATTGTAAGTGGGTGTGGCACGGTAGTAAGTGAGCGTGCTGTGAAAGTGGGCGTGGTTGAATAGCAAGTGGGAGTGGTGAGATTACTAGTAAGGGGGCGTGGTCAGATTGTAAGGGGGCGTGGTGAGATGGTAGACATGTGTGCTGTGAAAGTGGGCGTGGTGAGCTAGTAAGGGGGCGTGGTGAGCTAGTAAGGGGGCGTGGTTGAATAGCAAGTGAGCCTGATCTGGGAAATGAGTTAAAGCAGAACCAGCAGCTCGAGGAGCCTGTGCCTTTCATGTCACACTCACGAGGTGTTATGGACAAGCTCTTCCCTCTCTCTCTCTAGGTCTGGTCTTTCGGGGAGACCACCCTGGCCTCCGGCACATCGGGGCGCTTCTCGGTCACCACGGTGACGACGGACCGCGGCACGCTCTCCTCGCTGGTGATCGCCGAGACGCTGCCCGAGGACTTCGCCCTACGCTACAACTGCACCGCCTGGAACCGGTTCGGCACGGGCACCGTGTTGGTCACCCTCAAGGAGCAAGGTGGGGGGCAGCAGGGCGCTCTCCCAGCTCAGGGGGGGCCTTGAGTGTTGCTGGAGGGTAGAGGGTGTTTGCTCATGATTATCTCAATAACGAGATCAGCGCTTCATGGACATAATAGGACCCAGTTCTCAGTCATTCCCAGTTACAAGCTTCTGCCATGTTTTCAGGTATTGATGCTGTAAGGAGACCTAAGAAGCCTGGTTAGGAGGAGCAGCAGTGATGGTTGAATAATGGTTATTTCTAAACTGGAGAATAAATTAACATAGTTGCTTACTGTCTGTAGCAGAACTTTCTCTTAGGTCAGCGAGTACCAGGCACCTGAGCCCATAACAACTCACAGGAATACTCACTTTCGGGTTCATGAGGCCTTGTTGCAGAGTATTCATAGGTCTTCTACACAAAGGAATCTTGAGAAGCGCTTTTCTTTCTCCACTTGGCGGCCTCTGGTGGCGGGCCACTGATACTACAGCCCCTTCACACACCAGCCTGCCTCCTCACCGTTTAGGAAAGCGCTCACCCGGGTGTAACCCAGGGGTCCTGACAGCTCTGCTCTCTCTCTGTTGGCAGAAGCGCTCCCCCTGGTGATCATCGTGGGCGCTGCAGTCGGGGGCGGCTGCGTGCTCCTCATCTTCCTCATCACTGTGGTCTCCCTGTGCTGCAGGAATTCTGGGAAAGGTGAGGTCAAAGATCACTGCCGAGCACAGCAATAATGTACCTAATTAGACCTTCTCAGCTGTTTTTCTGTTTCCTAAGGCAGATGAGAACTTCAGGCTACTTAAAAGTTTCTGTACGTAAAGTGTCGCTAAGTAAGTGAAACAATACAAACTGGTCTTATTAGAAAATTCTTAGTTAATAGTTAGTATGAGTGGTAAATTTAAAAACCCACCAGTCACAAGAACCAGGACTGGGGTGTCCTGACGTAAACATGGGGTGAAGAAGATCTTTAATCCCCGAAAGCAAAGGAAGTTTTTCTCCAGATCCACTCTCCTTTGTTAGTTTCCCGATCTCACAGTCTCTCACTCAACCTCCTCTTCTTCTATTTCTACCCCCCACCCCAGGCAAGAAAAGTGCCCGTTTGTCCAAGAGTGACATTAGGGTTCAGATCGTGCACAGCGACCACAATGCCGCGCGAGCCAACGAGGACGAAGAGGACGTCAAAGAGCCAATGGTACGTCTCCGTTTCCTGATTGGCGGGGCCAATGAGCCTCGTTCTGCAGCAGAGACGTTCTGCTCGGGTTCCACCAGCGCCAGGACTTCTCTATGTGAACCAGCACAGGCTCCTCCCCCTGTTGTGACACCTTCCAGTTGCTTTCCTGCATGTTCGCAGCATTTAGTGCCAGAAGCTCGCAGATGGTAAAATCCGGAACGGATTTCTGGATCGAACTGCAGCGTACATCTGCAATTTGGTAGAGAGGGTGTATCTTAGACTTCTAAAATGAAAAAAAAAAACACACAGCTTTGTAAAACTGGGGCACCCTTCCCTTGGTTTTCCAGGCTCCTAACAGTGAGTCTCCCGGGACGTCCCGCACGGAGCACAGCGATCTCCTGGAAGAGGAAGAGGACGAGCGCTCGGATATCAAGGTACGGGGTTCTGTCCCGAGTCGCTGGAGACGGTCCTGAGGTACTCCAGCTCCGGGTTTTCTCTGCCTGTCTGTGGGCCGTGCCGGCGCAGGCCGTGCTGTAGGCCACAAACTTCCTCAGATTTACACCAGGTGTTACACCAGAAGTTCAGCTGTTTCTGTGTTATATGCACAGGTGCAACGAGGGGGCCAGCAGAGCAGGAGGTGTTTCGGGGGGCTGTACTACCGGCTGCCCTCCTCCTCTTCCTCGCCCCCGGCCTCACCCCGCCCCCCCGTTTCTCTGTTTCCCCACAGGACCCGACCAACGGCTACTACAACGTGCGCACGCACGAGGACCGCCACCTGCGCAGCGGCTTCTCCGAGTACGTGCCCGCCGCGCGCCCGGTCTACACGCCCTCACAGCTGCCCTCGCCCAGCCCCCTGTACGGCCAGCCGCGCGTCTACGACTACAGCTCCCGCTACGGCACGGCCAGCGGGGGGCGCCCCAGCTACGAGCCGCCGCCGCCGCCACCGGAGCGCGCCTACGCCCCCGAGGCCCTGTACCCGGGCTCGGCCTACCTCCCGGCCACCTACGGGCGCGCCTTCACCAGCTACGTCAAGCCCTCGGCCTACGAGAAGGTGGAGGCCTACGAGCACTCGGACCAGGCCAGCAAGGCGTCCAGCTCCTCGCGCTTCTCCTACGCCTCCTCGCACGAGTACGGGCGGCCGCTGCACCAGCGCATGCAGACGCACGTGTGACCCGCGGCCAGCGCTCTCTGAGTTGCCCCTCAGGCAGGACCCCTCTGGACACACCAGACACACCGGCCGCCACCCCCCACCCTGCAGACCTGCTTCTCTCTTTTTCCCCTTGTGACGTTGGTACGTGTGACGTCAGACGCACGCAAACGCCTCACGTCGAGCGTCATGTCCTGGGAGCGGCGGACTCGCTGGCGGGGGCGGGGCCAGGGCGCACGCTCCCACGCGTGTCTGCGGCGGACCTGACAGCGGTTGTCTGGCTCGCGGGGTATGGCGGGGACCGATTCTTTCGGCGTTTACAAGGACCTTTTCACTGGATCTTACACAACTGTAAATGTATATGTTGCGTCTTTGTCTTCGGCGTCTGTGGGAATGCCAGCGGTTTTGTTAAGCACACGCGTGGACGCCGGTGTCCTCATCGTCGCCGGCCGGCCAGCTGGCACCGCCGTGGCGGGGACTCGGAACGGAAAAACCCAGGAACAATCCCCGTGGGAACACAGCTCGGGTTTCTGGATTATAAATTCAGCGGGATCCTTTCTTTCAGAAATGCACGATTTTTTTTCTCTTGTTGAAAGTCGTCTGTTTTTCCAAGCGGCATGCGAGAGCAGCGGGACGGGTCCGCCCGGAGGGAAGCGGAGGTGACCCCCCCCCTCTCCAAGCCCTGAGTGTTGGGGGGGGTAGCAGAGGTGGTATTTCATAGCCAAAGCGGGAGGCGAGAGGTGGGACTGCAGCGTACAATCCTGGAAGAGGGGCGGGTCCTCTGGGGTACACGACGCTGGCTGTGTTCCCGGCGGGAGGTGCTGTTCGTGTGGCGGGTCAGTGCAGGAGCCCCGTGTTGTAACTCATTCCTGGTCAGCGGGGGGGGCTGTGTCCTGTCGCGCGAGGTACTCCCCCCCCTGACTCTACTGACTCTAGCCACGCGGGCCTGTTCACCCCCCCCCACACACACACACACACACACACACGTGCGTGCACCTCCCCCAGTGCCAAAGCAAAATTAAACAAACTGCCCGGCCGCCTGCGGCGAGGGTGACGTCGGCGAGCCCGGGGAGGGTGGGGTCAGGCACAGGGGGAGCGGGCTGCGCCCTGACCCGCACGCGGAGTCGGGGGGGACCCCTCTGTCGGTCCTAAGGACTGGGACTGAGCTCCGCGGACGCACACTGCCGCTCTTCCGGACTGCGGCCGGAACCATGAAGGTAGAAACCATTGCTTGTCTTATTTTTATATTTTATATAAGCCTTAACGTACAGCTTATTAAGCTGCTGTTGTAAATTATCTTTATGTATAATACATATCGGTATATATGAATACCTATATATCTGTTCTGATTTCCCCTCCACACTGTTCCCCACTCCACCCTCCACAGAAGGAGAAAAGAGCAAGCTTCCAGCGCACAGCCAATAATCGTTTTTCGTTTTTTAAAGAAAATGTACCAAGAAGTTTATTTGCTAAAGGATTTATCGTCGCCTGTATCTTTGTACACATATTTATATTTAATAAAACTATTTGAGATAAAAGCAGCTGGCTGGCGTGGAGTTATTGTGACGGGACCCCTGGACAGGACACGGACACTAGGCCAAACCTGGGAGGAACGCGCTGACTCCACACAGACCGCAGCGCTGCTCCTGCCCCGGGTCGCACTCCAACACAAAAGCCCTGGAGATTAAAGGGAGCTGGCGTGTATTGTGCACCTCACGGACAGCGCGGAGCTGTGGTTGGGCGACGTAGGAGGTCACAAGTTCAAACCCCTCATGGGGCTCTCTCTCTGAACACCCCTGAGCCAGGGACTGGCCCTACAGGGCAGCCGTCAAGGCTGAAGTCTGAGCCCTGTCCCCGCAGACCCCCCTGGAGTGAGGCTCCTGCAGCAGGAAGGGGACTGGTTTTGAGTCTTTGGCCTGGCGTGGCTGGACCAGTGGACAGCGACAGCGGTCAGAGGTTTTCACTTCTCGGAGGGGGGGGCAGGTGGGCCTGACTTGACCACCATTGGAACTTTGATTCCCCAGGTGGATGATTGCTGCTGTCTAGGCCGGTCGGGAATATAGTTTCTGTCTGGGGGGTGGGTGGAGAATTCCCTGCCAAACTAAATGTGACAAAAGAATAAAATAAGAGTTTATTTTAAAATAAAATCTTACAGTCTCATGGGAAAAAAAGTTTAAAATATTTCCATCTTTATGTTACAATACATTTTACTTTGAGCCGATAAGACAGACAAAAACAAAATCTCATTAAAAACTGTACACATCCAGTATATATACAGAAACACAAGCCCCACCCTGCCCCCTGTTCTCCCATCACCGTTCCCCGAAGGCACTAAATACAGGACACAGGCGCACGGCTGGTTTCAGAGAAGACACGAGGAAAACGAAGATGCGTTCTTGTGGAAGCGATTAACGCTCTCTCACCTGAACTGCACACCCAGCCCTGCCAAAACGGAGCGTTCGGAAGGAGGCAACATTGGCCCCGATGACACAACAAATCCTGGGATTCTCTGTCTCCAGAGCAGATGGAAATGGAACAAGTACAGCGAACAGGAAAGGTATTAGAAATGGAAAGGGAATAATGAGACCGGATGGGAGGGCAGTCTTCAGTAGGAGCGGACTAGGTCGGATGTCCACAAGTGACAGCATGATGTTGCAGGGCGACACCAGCACACATCCCTCCCGCAGCTGCAAAGAGCCCTTTCTCCCTGCTCGAGCGGTCTTGCAGAGGCGGATCCTTCATCAGCACGGAGCTATTCCCTTTCGGAATGAACAGAGCCCTGGAACTGCTGGAGGAAACCCGTGACCAACCTTGCACGCCGAGGGAGGCTGGGTGGATCAGGCAGACGTGGGCTGCACTGTGCTCAAGTCCGGAGGCTTCCTGGATTTCCAGCTGGGAAGTTCTCTGCGCAGGGAGACGCAGTGACAAATATTCCTCCTCCCAGCTGGAAGCAGGTGAGGATTTTCCCGATTTCATCCCCGGAAAGACTCTGCTGGCCTTGAGCTCCATCCCTCAGCCCGCCCGGCCCCCCCAGCCCCTCCCCATGCTCTAGATCCTGGTCAGCTCCCGGATCCAGTCGCGCAGCTTGGTGACGCGGGTGTAGACGCCAGGCTTGTTCTTGCGGGCGCAGCCCTCACCCCAGCTCACTACCCCAGCTTGGAACCACTTCCCACTGTCCTCTCGGCACACCAGCGGACCTCCGGAGTCTCCCTGCAGGGGGCGAGAGACAGAATGACATTAGAACACACACAGACACCGATCCACCCCACCAGGTCTGCACACCGGAGCTCCAACCGGATGGAACAGGACCCGGAGCGCTGAGCCAGGTCCAGAGGTGACGTTGCTCCCCTGTGTAGGACTCCACCGCGCACAGGAGCCAGTCTACTTGCGCGGCAGAGTTAGACACTGTCTCGGAAGCGGCACTGAGCTTGCTCGGAAAGCTGTAAGCAACCAGAATCAAACCCAGGCAAAGGCAGGGAGAGGCAGGTTACAGGGGCAAGAGCTCTCAGAGGCCCCCAGTAAAAGACAAACAGAGTATCTTAACCAGTAACTCTGTGTCTGTGCAGATTAAGTCTGTAAACTGTGACACTGGTGCAAGGCTGTTATAGTAGCAGACAATGCAGGACAGCACAAGCGGAACATGTGGGCTCGCAGGGGTGGAAAACCCCCCAGAGAGAGAAACCTCTGTGGGCCCCAGGCCTGTCCCTGGGCAGTGGATTCAGTCATTAATGGTTTGTTTTACATTAATTATGATAAATCATGGACAATCTCTCCAATGTCATCAAAACACAATGCACCGAGAAGAGGCTTCACCGACATCAGCATGAAGTATCTGGCATGCTACAACCGGTCAATAACTGTGGTTCAACACAGCAGGGGGTGCTATAAGCACACTATCACCCAGAAGCCTGTCTGGAGGGATACTGCAGATCTCTGTGCCAGGAAGTGCCACTCCAACCAGTGCCAAGCTCTTACCTGGCAGGCATCTACACCACCAGCCAGGTAGCCGCTGCACATCATCCGCGACGTCACCTGTCCTTCTGTCACCAGGTTGCACACGGTGTCATTGATGATCTTCACCTCCGCCTTCTGGAGGATCTGGGACACACGGCCTGCAGAGAGAGGGGTTAATACACACTGACTGGACACTCCAGTACAT